TAGACGTATATTATAAAGCAAAAAAGTAAACTAATAAACACATGTTTAACTATTTTAATTCGCCATGTTCGATACTGCTCCTATTGTAGTTGAATTAATAATGACTAAATTTAGAAAATCCAACTTGTTTAATTTTGTGACGCCTTACAACTAAAATCCATTTATGCACACTCCTACCTGGTTGAACTTGTTTTTTCCTAAACCATAAACATTAGTGAATCAACTCCCAAGACACCATTCACCTTTATAAGGACCTCACTTCTACAAACAAACATAAGCGTCAAAAGTGAACTGCTTCACCCCATTGGCAAGACCACTTTCCTTAAACACCTTTTAGTGGGTCCTCAACCTATTTAGCCTTTTAACGGAATTGTCAAATTCTTATTCCGCATAGCAACCGAGTTCTGGTCTTGAACTTCGGTGAACTGTAGTATTAGTTTGGATGTTAAATGTAACGGACTGTTACATGGCATTTGCAAAAATAGCTTGCCAATCAGCTCAGATAAATGGTTAATATTCTACCGCCTAAGGATATGCATCTCCATGCAAATAAAACTAAACCGCAAATTCCTGCGCTCTCAGACAAGCTTGATTAAATGATTGCAAATAAAGGCAATGAGACCTCCTGCTCAGATGGATGAGGGGAATTAAAAATTACTTTCGTTACTAAAAAGTTTTCTCTATCCTATAAAGATGTCTTGATCGTATAACATTATCAACTGTGTTTACTTCTACTTTGATATTTTTGAACAATTTTTTCGCTTTTATTTCGCACAAATATTTCGATAGTTTCTGCTAGTGTACCCATCAAAATTAAAAGCAAAGGAAAACATGCCTTAAGCTTTTGACAAGATTAAATAGAGAACTGAATGCCATACTACTTGGATGCATTTTTGTTTGCGGTATCACCCATATTTATCCAGCCAGTACTGGCTATAACACCGCCAGCCAATTAAGCCCGCGGATGTCTTTGGATAAGTAGTTGGTGATGGTAGCACTTTCAGCCTGCTAGTGGATTCTCCTACTTTCGACTTTTGAGGCATTATATCTTCCACCTTCGGCCGAGATTTATCTATAAGTTCGGGGATCCTATCCTTGATAATCAGTGAAGGTGGTCCAAGTAAAAATCCGTAATTTTTGCAAAAGTCTCTTCTGGCTTTGTTTTCCTTGCAAATAGTAGCACGAAAAATACTATCCCGTGCCGTTTGCGTGACAATAAACCGATCATTCATTGCAGTTACTAGAACCACCTGCTATCGAGCTTATTTAAAGAACCGGGCTTTTTGATATCCGTCATTCACTTAAATAAACTAATCTAGTAAAGGCTATTACGTTTCAACATATCAAGAAAAACACAAGCCTTAGCATTAAAATATCTATTATTTCAAATGATTTTCCCGAAGTTTATGTTTTAGCAATAACTGCTGCTGCATCAAGTACGTGTTAATACCAAAAACAAAAACTCAAATTTCTCTTTTATCCATCGTTTGATTCTAATTGCTTACTAATATTCATGCTTTAAACCAATTTGGACCTTAGGTAATTATCTTAGTCTTATCGTGTTCCTATCTTGGCAATAATAGCGCAGATAACCACCACGATGTAACAACACGGAGCAAACTAGATTGGTGTTCAAATAGCTCAACGCTTAGGGTATAGGCCAAATCCGCCTTTACCCCATTTTTTCAAAAGTCTGTAGGCCAAAAAATACGAATATAATACAGGAGGCGACTTTAGCAGTCACTACCCCACTTGTTCCTGCCTGGTGGACTCGCGACACCACCCAACCTACCTCGAGAACCTTGCCCCCAGGATCTGACTCTCTTCAATTCACTATAGCTTACAGTTTTGAATCCTTAATTGTCAATACACCTCTGACGAATATTCAACTCATATTTTATCAGGTAGTTCGACCCATCCCCTAAAACATGCAGGATTTCCATTAAAGGCTAAGTTTAAAAGGTTTCGCAGTAGCAAAAACTGTTATTACATGCACACAATATAATATGGAAGTTCGAAAGTTTTTTACATTTCAAACGTGAGACCCAAAGAGAGGAGTGTAAATGAGCGTAGTCTCTTTAAACCAGACGTCGATTCCGTTGACCATTCCGGCAATTGAGAAGACAGTTTGGTTTGGCCTGTTTCTTCCAAAATGCAAAAAAATGCTTTAAAGCGGCCAGTACAATGTGAATGCTCAGATCTAGTAGTGTACTTAAAATTAGGCAAAGTGAGATATGATTTCGGTAATGTAAACAGGTTTTCTGAATCAACGATCCTAATTTCAATAAACGGCCTTGGTGATGTTGAAGTGTTCAGTTTAATCGTTTAAATTTTATCTCCATTATCATGCCTGACTGAGTTTGTCAGCACGGGGAAGCCATTTTGAATGCTCCTGACAACAAAATGGCAGCTCAACATGAATTCACCAGATTCGTCGAAATGCATCCGTTGGTTCGGAGACGCGGCCGGCGATGGTGTTTGGCGAATTTGTGGTGCAGATTTCAGCTCTACTGCTAGGAGTGGACCCTCGGGCAAATCCGGCTCATACCCACTGCCATGGAGCAAGACGTTGAAAAAATTGCGGTTAGAGTGTTGTGCAGCCCGATAGGCAGAGCTTATCTGAAAGGCAACACAGTGCTCATTACCACTAAAACACACAGCGATGTTCCCCATTTCAATTTTTTTTCAAAACTGCACCAATTTATTATTTAGGGGAACTTAAAGTGAAAGGAATTACGTCTTCATCTATATATCTTATTCATCAATGCTATTTATTAGAAAATATAGGGTATTTATTAACGCAATGCATCCACCGATTTCATCCCTTATCGGGTTGGTTAAAATGGCAGGCCAAATAAATCTGTAATAAATAACTTTACAGAATAATTTGCTCTACGGCGTGAAGTCTCGCCTTTTCCCATACCTCGTCCTCCGTAAAAGAAACCTCCTGAACCGCCTCACACCACTGTGGTAACACGTTTAAAATTCCGCCCTAATCGTTGATATATTACAACGATCGTGAGGTATCGAGTCGCTGAAGTTTATAAATCACAAATAACAAAAAAATCCTTGCCGCCAAAGTTCTCAATATTTTTCCCTCTATCAAAACCCCTCGAGGTGAGTTCTTTGGAAGGACACTCGAGTTAATATTGGAGTAACTCTCATTAATTTGCCATTGTCTGCATCAATCCTGTGAATGGTCATCCTCCTGAGTTCTGATTTCGTTACGTCGACTACCTTCTCCTACGTTTATTGCTATCCTTCACCTGGCCAAAGTATCGAGAACCCATGTGGATCATCTTCGTGCCCAGCATTTCCATGGAAGATTCACTTTAGTAATCGTATTCTTTAGTAGCTACGAAATTCACAAGAACTTAATTACCGGTCTACTGCCCTACATGCTTATCCCTTCCTACGTTAGCAGGTAGGAACTGCGTTTTGTGGACACCGTCTCAGAAGAACTTGCGAGGTCGAAATGGAATCATTCTGATTAATAAAGTAATTTTATGGATACAGCAATAAAACGCTTCGGTCGTTAGGCGGACAATGTTATCATGGATGCAGCACAATCATGTATTATTTCAAGGGGAGTAAAATGTCATCGTGGTGAATTGTTGAGCAGATTTAAGTAATGTTTTATGCTATAGCCATAAAAGTAGGATAGAGATGTAACTCACATCTCGAAGGGCTTCGACTTCGCACTCAGAACTGGAATCTTCGTCCCATGCTTGATCTTCGTTACTGAGATGTCCACCTGCCGATTCTCTAAAGTGCCAACGAAGGAATGGTTACAAGCGAGCGACGATGTGCGTGGAAAGTAAGTGCGTATTGTGATACTGTGATTATCCACAAAACCTATATTAATGTCCTCACATATCGTTAATGGGTCAAGGGGTCCATTCGTTGCCAAGATAGACAAGATCGGATAAGGCAGCACCAATACGAGCCCATTTGATGAGTAAGAATGTATTTGATGGCGGTGAAAATGTGATACGCGCGATACTTGATGAAAGGAAAGCTTATATGTTAGCGTTCCGCTCATGTTTTCACCAAAACCTTTTACTCATAACCCCATTGTCGGCACCGGAAACCCTGGAACATATACATTTATTGTCATTTCGAACAAATAGACGCACACATTCTCTCTCTGTGTTGCTCTTTAGCCAAGGTTTCTCTCTCCCTCTCCAGGATTTCGGTCACACCTATGGACACAAGCCCTCCCGTAAGGTGATGTAGGCCGAGATACATGGTTGGGAGGGGGGAGGTGACGAGTCGTGCTTGTGCCTTTGTCTTACACAAATGAGAATGTGACCGGTTCCAAGACGGATCACTTTCAGTAAATGAACTCCGGTGTTTCTGTACCCCTCTGCAGCACCTGTGTGCCCACCTCCTCATACTCGTACCAGAGCAAGTAAGGCACGCAGCCTGACGTATTCTCCCACAAAATCTTTCCAATTTTACTTTTATGAATAAGAACTCAACGTCGATTTACTCTCCGAATTTAATCAGAACTGCTTATCCTACTTTGTGTGCAATGATACGAGAAACCAGTCAATGCTTAATTGCCATTTCCATCAGTTCCAACGTGCTTATTTGTAACTTGGTCCGAATAATTTCACTTTCTTGATTAAAAATAAATGAGTCATTGGCGGCAACTATGGCCATTGGCAAATACGCAGTTCAGTTGTCAACCTTTGCCCCCACCAGAACGCCTAACAGTGATTTTGATAGCAGACAGTGGGGTCGACATGTCTGACACATTCGTGTAAATAAATGGCGCATGTCACATCACCTGGCTGATGAAAATTAAAAGAGCAGCTAACTAAAGGCACTTGTCAGTGTCATATATAGTACTGAACAGGTGTCCCCATCTTCACTCCTTATGCAAAGGTTTTCCCGCTTTTAGAACCTCGAATGAAGACATGGAAGCAGAATTCACAAATGCTGCTTACTTGAAGCATCAAATATGGGTCTGAGAAAATGATGGAACCAGTCAGTGCGGTTGATAGAATAGTTTTTTCGTTTTGCATTAAATTTAGGTTTAATCCAGCTTAATACCTTGAATGTCAATAAGTGCATTTCAAGTCGTGTAGAAGTCATCCAAATGCAGCACCCCACAAACAATATTATTATCCTCTTTTAATGCTTGATACGTAGGATTCATCTTATAGTTTGATTTCATACAACTGGAAGCCTAATAAATTCTTGAATCTTTGTTTCAATGGTGCATTGAGGGAATGCCAAAACTGCTGACACACCTCGCCCATCAATGCTATCAATGCCGCGCAATTTAGATTCCTTTCTGAATAAATGAATTTAAGCACTTGTTTTTGTCTAGCGGTGGCTCCATCAGTTCAATTAACTCAGATGCCTAGAAGAATCGCGTTTTGCAACCTATATTCGAGAAGTTTATGACTATATAAGTGAGAGGGTTCAGAAATGTTGCCGTTCCTCAACGCTTCCTTGAGCTCCCATCATACAAGAGGGAAGTTGACGAATTTAAAAATGGTTTCCTCATTATTTAAAATGACTGCCTATTACCATCAGGAGAATATTCATTTGCCCACGGTAAAAAAATATGAGAAATAGGTCACACAATGGAAACATTTCTCCAAAATGCACTCACTTGATGTCCGGAGTGATCCGTTTTTGCTTTTTGTAAGGTATGCATACATGACTTTCCACGAATTTCGCCACTTCTTCTATCCTCTCCAAGTATTCTCTGACCTTGTCAAGATGAGATCGCAGGGTATTCACGACATCTTCTGGTTCCGATTTTACCAAGGAGGCGTCAATCGGCCTCTTATTTAGGGTAGACACGTAACTGCGTATATCCCGTTCGGCTTGCTCAAGTCGATTAGTAGACGTATCCACACCATCTTTCAGAATTTCACAATCCTGAAGTCATAATAAAACATCGGTTATAATTTTTAAACTAACGGTTACAGCCAAATAAAACATGCGTGGCTCTTTGATTGTTGTTTTGAAGAAATGGTTTGCTGATGACCATCAATAGAGCAAACGATATAAACTAGCCGTCCTCATCTACTACTCTGCAACGTGGTTTCATTTAGAGGTAGAGTAAACGGGACACCACTCTGACAAGTTCAAGAATGCCCACTTAGGTCCAGTCGCATCTACTCAGTGGTGCAGTCATTGACCTTCACCGATCACAGTGACGCACGACCACTTCAACAGCGACTGTTTTTTTTTTCACTTTTAACATCACAGGATCACATGGACAGGAAAATTTCCCTTTAACAGGGAATTAACTGCCAACACCTAAGAATGAAATCCGCTTCCATAGTCATTCCATCAAAAAAAAGCTTGGAGAGTTATTTCAGGGACTAAAATTCTCCAACGCACATGTTCTCTCCAAGCGGGAACCTACCACCATCTATAGAAAAGATATTCTTTGGGGTAACACGTGATTTGAGAAATGTCGTATCCAGAATCCCGCTTGACTTTAGAACGGTAGAACACTGCACCCCGTGCTGCCCTAGCAGTCATGACCTCCTCTTAATTCGGTAGGATGCAACATGGACAAAAAAAAACGCAAAACAAGACCAGACAGACTTGACACACTGGTAATTGGTCTAACTTTGTAAAATTTAGGAATGTCGAGAATCGTTCGTTTTTTTCTCAACACGAAAGATCGCAAGGGCCTTTTCGGATAGTCGGTTCTCTTCATTCGGTCAAAAAGTACAAGCGGGCGATCAATAGTGTCACAGTGGAGGTCATTGAGCTACTAAAGTGCATGCAGGCCAAATTCACCTCCTCTGCCTCAGAAACCGCTCTGATAAATTTCATCAGTTAGTTGTTCTATTCGCACTACTTTTAGAATTCACTGATCTGCTCTGGTTTTTTTTGTGATTTCTATACCCAAGTGGTTATGTGCACAGGTTTAGGCCAATGCAATTTTCTTGCCCATTTATTTTTCCTAATTCCATAGAGTATTTTTAAATCCCCCATTCACTAAACAGTTCAGTGTTGTGTAACACAGTCTGGCCCTATCCAACCACAAGAGTCCCATCAATCTCAGCCACTGAAGAACTGCGCACTATCTGTTCACGATTTAATTAGGCCTTGAACTTGAAGGAGATCAAACTTTGCAACAATTTATGACTCTTTAAGTCTACATTCTAAATTGTTAGTCTCGAGTGGGACTTAGAAGGGGTGATTCACACCAATGAGCTAAAATGTGCGCGTGTGTTCTCGTGCAGGGGCTCGTCAAGATGGCTCGAAGGTGCCACCCCAACAGGACCAAGTGTCAACCGCCGTATCAAAAAACGTCAAGTGTTTGCCCGCGCTTGTACTTCCTCTACGTTGGTCGTCCTCCATCCTCCTCCCCCGCCCCCTACACACCCCTAACCCCACGAATGGCACTTGCCTAATTCAACCGCTCGCTCTTCCTGAATTCACTAGGCCCCATGAGGTAATGCGACTGTTAGCCGTGATAAATGACTTGTTTCTGATTTAAAAATAACCCGAAACTGCCGTTCATTACACTAATTAGTACACCACTACTTCTGCTGGATCCACTGAAATTCACATCTGGGTGTAAATCAGATGGCTCCCACGTCAGTTATCCTCACCGAATAGCAGTCGCTTCACCAACAGGCAGCATACTGACACTTGGCATCTGTTTAACGTCGGTGTGATTCTGCATCCAGTGCCCCTATTGGTGGACACTGTCCATCATTGCACTTTAAGGGTAAAGAGCAATAACAATTGTGAACAACTAACTTTCTAAGAATTGGCCTGTAAGAAGGCATCAGATGCTCCTTAAACCATGTAATGCGACAGTCACCTCATGCATGAATGGGCATTACAAAGCGTAGTTCATCAAGCAAACAGTTTGACATCTTTTTCAGGACCTACTATTCGGCAAGATGCCCAACAATTTTAACTACTTCTCAACTTGTGCGCCACTTCATTTGCCTCATCACTGCGCTACAACAAGTAGGCAAAAAGGACGTACAAATTATAAAATATGCTTACCTCAAGTACATTTTGCGTCTTTTCGATTGTGATAGCATCGATGGACTCATTTACAATGCGTAGCTGCAAGACAGGATCGTAAATTGTTTGCAGCTGTTGTGTTATCTTTGATAGCTTTCCGAAATGAAATAATGCCATGCTAGACGAAGAATCTATCGGACCGAGACAAATGTCCACCAAGTTGTGACATCTGTTGACAGATGGGGTGCAGTTTTGAGACCTTGCATTCGCGTCCATGGTAATGAAACACCTCATTGAAAGTTGTAACAAACCTACGTAGCAGTGCTCTGGATCTCTTCGCTTTATGTGCCATGCAACCGTCTAGAAAAGAAAACGTTTAGCCATTAGTTTCAAACTCACATATCGTCTGCTATTCCACAGTTCAACGGAAGCACGAACAACGTAGCAATGCCTTACAAACAATTTACTTGCTGCCCCTGCCCGACTTTTAAAGGTAAATGAGCCTGTTTCCTGATTCCTCAAGTTTCCAGCCTAGCCACGCCTGGGCTGCGTGCCCTATTCATTTGCCGGTCAAGTTGCTGTTTCGATACTTTCTTAACCACTATCATAGGACTACTTTCTAGTGCTGCAAAATCAACAGATCAGTAAACACGCTTACAGTAAAAGAGGTGAACACCAAGCTGTTAGCTATTCCTAGGCTACAGCATGTCAGCGAGGCAAGTTTACTTGGACAGCTCTCATTGTGAGCGCACGGACAGCCTAGCTTTCTATCAACATCTAAGGGACCAAAAGGCAGGTAACGATTTGATCGAAACTTGGATTTAAATCACCGTAACTTCTCATCTCTTCCTACCTAAGATCCGATCAGCACTACACTTCCATAAAAAGGCAGAAATGTAAAAAAGCCAAGATTGTTCATAATCACAATGATGACCACCGCTTTTTGTAAAATGGTGAACGTGTAAAAGCCCTAAAGACTCTGTTAATGTAGTTTATTTGTCTCTAAATTTCATGGCCGCATTTACGTAGACCAATTAGACAGTTACAAATAGTTGTATTGTTTTCGGTGCTTTATTTTCAATAAAAGGCTATTCCTTTGAATCGCCTTAGCACCTTCAAGTAACCTTTCCCGAAACTATCGGAAGACATGAGATCCTATTTTGTCTAAAGTAAAATTAAGACCAAAAATTGGTAATGCTTATCGGCTATTAAGCTAGGATATTTGGATCACTTTGTAGCAGCAGATTTGGAATCTTTAGCACTATTATCAAGCACTGTATGGAAACACTCTTCTTAAAATGCCTAAAGATAAAGCTAGAATGTCAGGCAGAATAAAAGGTTTGTACGTATTACAGAGCACACATAGTCAACTTGGTGCAAATAAAGTAAAACACGAGAGGAAGAAAACCAACAAACTGGAATGGCTTTACCGCTTTAAAATTCTCATTATTTCCGATAAAAGTGTATTCATCGTACCTTGGAGTAATTTTCTATTCTTCTTAGTAGGAGTTGATAGTTAAGACACGTCGACATTAGCAAAACCGATTGATCATCCTCAGCCAATAAAGATTCTGCATAATACTTGTCCGTATACAGACACTTGTGAACAAAAGCCATCTGCTCCTCTGTGAAGGATTTCAAGCTGGCTACGATAAATGCTGGGCGCGTGAGGTTTCTTCTTAAAATTGATATCGTTTTCTCTAGATCCACGCAAGCACCATTCAGTAAAGTCTCGGTTAGTTCGTTGAAAAACATTGTAAAATAATAAAGCAATTCTGTGGAGTTTTGTGAGTATAAATGCTGCGATAGAACGCTAAGAGTGCGCACGCAATGAAGTCGAGGGAGGTCTTCCGAAATAAGAAGAAATACGACAAACCTCTTAATTCACTAATAGCTGTGTCCAGACTCTCACTCGTTTGAACAAGCAAATCATTTTTCCTAGAATCTTCATCAAACTTATAGGAATCAAGATGGCTCTGTAAAAGTGCACAGGCCTTTCGCACTTTATCTACAAAGTATCAACAGTAAGCTAAACATACGTTTACGGAGGAAATAATAACAGAGTTAAGAGTAAAATGCTATTAGAGCGGAAAGAGCACAGTATACTTACTGTATTAATGCTTATCTCTGTGCGGTAGCCAAGAGCTACCCATTTTGAAGATGGAGATAGGATGTCAATTTGGTATCTAATCGACGCAAGCTGCGTTAAGAATGTGGGACCATACTATGGTTTTAGGGCTTGAATCTCAAAACACATGCTAGTGCTAACGATTTTGACCCAAAAATCGGGCCAAGTGTTTTTTCTTGCATTTAGCCTAGGTGTAATTACACAACATTATTTCTCCTATGCCACCAAATCATGATTGGAACTAGTCAACCAATGTAAAAAAACAGCAAAATCATCTACCTAGTGGGTAAACACAAGAAGTTAAGGACAAAAATGCGCAGAAAAGTAGAAAAACCGTCCGCATTAAACGTGAACTGCAGAACATCCTTATATGATGAGATTTTGAAAGCGTTCTAAGGTCAGATAAGCGGCAGTTCCTATAAGGTTAAACACCTTGGTGGAATTGACCAATTTGGCTTAAATAAGCACAAAAACTTGCATTGTTAGTTACGTTTGTATTAATGTTTACGTTTAGAATGAGTATTCTAACCGCGGAAGAGCATGGCATATTGACTGTTTAAATGCGGAAGTGCAACCTGCAGTGAATGAAGTTCCAGTGTGGGCAAGCATTCAGCCAAAAGAAACGTCTAGTTCCTATGTTATCGCATCATTGCGATTTAAAATAATGAATACGATTGCTCAGAGGACATAATGAGTCGGATAACAGCAAAATTACATGAAAAAATTAAATGTTTAGAACTGAAGAGCTCTTAGCATATTATCAGTCATGTTAAAATCTATCTAGTTTGCTTGTAGATATCATTAAGTCTACCGTGCAAGCTGTAAAGTGCTGTACTACCTTTCGTTTCTTTTTTGTGGAATGCTAGCGAATGACTACCTCGCAGTTCAAACTTCATTGTCACAGTAGCATGCCATTTTTTGCGATATTTTTACTTCAAAGCCACTTAAGGTTATTTTAATATTTGGCTACACTCAATCCGCGGAGATACTATGATTTAATTTCACTTCTTTTTCTGTAGAGAGATGAATATGGGACTGTTGCAGGATAATAAATGCAAATCTGTGTGATAGTTGATTTGAAAAATCGAGTGTTGTTATCTGCGACTACTACCTTTTATTCAATAGCTATGAGACCTCCTGATTTTCGGACCTGTATCTTTTCTGGCTAATACCCAAATCGATTTTTTTGATGTGCTATAAAATAAATTACTTCAATAAGCATATTTTTCGCATATTTTTGTCCTACCGATGCCTGAAAACTCAGTGATGAACCAAAACTTTCTGCGCGTAGCCGTATCTGTATCTTTACCCTTGAGATAGATTCTGATCGCCGAAAAGTAAGTTTGAAACAGCGGGACTTACTGTTTAAAGACTTGCCTTACGTTAGTCTCACCAAATATTTTTGGTGTCAAAAATTGGTAATCTGATCGTTATTTGGAGCTTTGATTAGTCCTACGTCGTCTGGTTGACGCCAAAGATAGGTGATGTCTGGTGGTGCCAGAGTAATGGTCTGCACGAGCGCCATAAAATTCCACCAACCTCATGGAAATTCCTCCTAAATTGGTTTGTCCACAACCATCTGTGTGAATGCTTTGGTTTACCTTAGGCGTTCTTGTATTAAATGTGTGTAATTCATGGCTCATGTACGCAGCCTTTCCAAGGTCAAAATCCTAAGTCATCATGCACTTTTGCTAGGTTTTCTAGCACTCCTTGGGCGCTCTTTGAATCTGTGATATTTACGTACTATAAGTCTGCAGACTATTTACATCTCTGGAATGACTTAAACATTTTTGTCTGATATTCAATGACGTCTTATTGAATACATTGCACCGAATGGTGAAGTTGTTCTTTATGATACTTGCAAAGTGCATTAATCCGTCTACATTTTTAGACATTGCAAGTTCTGCAAGGTCGTGTAAGGATAGAAATATTGCCCATTAGGCTGTCAAGTGTAAATTTTAAATATGAGTCGTGTTCGATCCCTTCTTTCCCGATTTCTTATGGATACATTAAAACAATCCAGTCGTTTTATGTCATGGCATAGTAATACCCTCGGCAGATTCAAATAAAAAGTCTTCATTCCATAGTATGTATATCATGGCGAAAATAGGTATATCATTCAGCGTGTAAAGTTAAGCCAAGTGTCGACTGTAGCTCAAACATTATCTTGTCTTCACAGCTAATAAATATAATGCCAAATAAACACATCACTTCCTCCTTGTAATAAACACTAATTGCAGTAATTATGTATGGATCACCGTTACATCGGTCAAAACAATATACAATACTTGCATATCTCAGGCATTTATGTTATTGACGGTTTTTGCCCTTCCCTCGCTTCGCAATGCTGGAATGTCTGGAGACATTTCTCGGAGGAATTATACCTGGACCTTACGCCCACCATAGCAACATCAACAAAACTAATCTCCCACCGGCCGTTGCTGCCATAGTAACAGCCGGTTTGTTTTTCCCTTACCCGTATAGGCACATTGGCATGCCTTAAAAAATAAATGTTCACTGGCTATGCGGTATTGCGTACCCATGATTTGAAAAATCCGCATCGGACAAGCTTTCAAAAAGTAAACGATTATGTGATGAAACAACTCTTTAGTACTCGCCAAACTGTACTCTTAGAATGTTATTTTACGCCTCTGACTTGATAAATGGTTGGCTGGTATCCGAGGCACCTTCGAATGTTAGTTGGGGCTGTAAGTCATAAACTGCAGACGGCACAATGGCCTATTTTGAAGGCGTGACTTGCTTGCTGATGAAAAGGTAATTTGTTCAAGACTATTTAAATACTTCGCACCGTACATGCTGCCAACTGCGTAAATCGTGGTGTAAAGTAGGCATATGCTTTATTTGAGAACATTTAATTTCCATTTTGGGGCATAAATGACTTCATTGCCCGGAATGAGCCTAAGCCAAGTATCTTTCTCGGTACAACTTTTATCAAAGCTACAGCGGCACCACACAATGGCGCCTTTTAAATTTATGCCCATGCAAAGGAATCTCTGGGTGCATCAACTTGATCGTAGACAAGGAACTTGAAACCCTATCCAAGGCATGTGAAAGTAAAGTTTGTTTTGGTAGGAGGATACTATTTTGGGATGTCATCCCCTTAAACAAGTAAATCTAGGAGATAGGCACATTTTTATGCGCTAAATTTTGCTAGCTAAAGTTTTTTTGGTCGTTGAAAAAGATAAGCCTGAATTCACAGGTATTTTGCGCCGCAAATTAAACGCAAAATTTGGGAGTAACATTTCATTCTGTACACATCATGAACATCTGGTCAACCGCTGACTCCCACCTATTGGCACAAAAGACCCAAATAGTAAGATTGCGACACGACAATGCTCACTTGGCACCCAGAAAGAAAGACGTTTCTGCACCAAAAAAAATTTGTAAACACAAAATTTGTGCAAAGCTGCTGGACGAGTCAGTCGTGACATTCAAATTTAACATCAGTTTAAGTGGTTTAAGACTACAAGTTGGGTAAATACGGATGATCCAAAATCGAGGTGGCTTTTCGCTGAGAGCTTACCAACACGAAAAAATCATTTTTTGACTAACCAAATCAGACAGCCTTCACAAATCGTCCAAGACACAAGTTAATAAAGCTAGCTCGTAATTTTGTCTATTGCCCAAAAATGGCATCTCCACCTCCTAGGTGCATTCATAGGAAACCAAATGGGTTTACAGAGGAAATAAACTAAACATGTTTCGCATTGCACAATGCTTCATTTGTTAAAATATCC